CATCGGTAAGCGAGGACAACCTGTAAATACATAAATATATAGATGCAATAATAAAGGCCCTTAAGGTGAGGGTCCAACTTAGAGCAGCCCCAACAGATGGCTGTCCAGCCTCCATCTGACCTATTCCAGTCAAGGGCATCCCACCACTGACAACTAAATATTGGTACAGTAGCAACAAACCCAACTGCTCCCCAGATCCCAACTTCAAACAAAGAATCTCACATCCAACCAGCTGTGGCCAAGATGTGGCTTTCCAGATGACAACCGCATCCCCATCCTCTCAGGAACACAGCTGGTACCAGGTGAGCATATTTCAGACAAGGGGAACACCAGTGGTGTGCTGGTAAATGCTGGGCTGGATCCATTACTGCTGCCGCCACCATAGTGCTAGCTGAACAGCTGATCAGTGCGCTAGGGATAGTGGCTCAGCTGTGCTCTCAATCACTCTGGAATCACAAAATTCCAGAAACTTTTAACAATCTGCTGTCAGGAGCCAGTGCAAGTCAGCCCCAGCACACCCCTGGAGACACCCTCCTCTAAGCCCACTCAACTTTATTATGATGCCAGGTTGGCTACCTTATTTATGATAGGATCATGGATGAGGGGAGCCTTGTTCCTTTCAAGAAGGCTGGAGAAGATGATCCTTGTGCTCTTTATCAATTCCACAATTCTGTCATATGCAGAATTCTTCAATGCTGCACACAGATGTAATTCCCTCTCTTTTCAAGGGGATTATATTCCTAGTAAAACACTTGTAGCCTCACTGTACTATTTTATTCGTAAAGACCTATGAAATCTCTCAAGGTCTGACAAAAAAAGTAAAACGCTTACCCCATGGAGGATTTCCAAGCTCTTTAAAGTGAGTTGTAATACACACTAGATCAGTTTCTATTTTCAATTTCATCTCTCCATTTAGATTTGCTTGTATTACCTATATTTAATTTTAAAACAACAAGTGAACTCTTTTTCACCATGGTTATACTCATCCCCTACCAACTACAGACTATAGGAGATGGAAAGTGTCTGAACAGCCTAATTCCACTCCAACTAGTTTAAAACGTATCTGATAAATATGCAAAAGAAAAACAAAAGTATTGAATATTTGTAAGATAATTAAAAACTAAGATAGCCAAGCCAGATACTCTTAAGGATCACTTTATTCTGTAGCCTATAGGTAGGCAAATCTATGAGCATTTATGGTTTGCAAGCTTTCTGTCCATTTGATTTTAACTTAGATTCTTTTAATTCACATTTTTAGATTATTTTAATTGTTGGCAATTAAGATTCTTTTAGCCAACCGGGGGAGGGGGGGGATTGGATGAAAAAATAAAGCACCAGTCACTAGCATAATGTTATTTATGTACACAAGATAGGCTCCATAAGCATTTTTGAAAAATAAAAACGAGGTGTGGCCGAAAAGTGCTTTCTTTGAGAAGATGCCCATTTGCCTGGAAAAAAAGACAACTGAGGACTAGAAATAAAGGTGAGGATGAACTCACTAACCTGCCTTCCAGTAAATATTTTTGTGACTTACCATACTTAGTATGTCAGCCAACCTTTGAATGAGAATACCCACAAGATGTTCTTAACATTTCAAAATTTGGCTGCTAGTCCAAAAATATTTTCCACTCTAGACAGTAATGCAAAATCTTTCACTCTCCAAAGATCATTTGGACCACTATCATTTTAGCCAACATGAGAATTATCATGGAGGTATTGTGTGAGTTCAAACATTTGCAAAAAATAGCAAATCCCACTGTCCTGTCTTTACAGTTGTTTAGGAATTGGTAGGTTTCTCTATATACTTTACGCTGGTACTATCCAGCACTTAAAATTCAAAGGAGTAAAGGTGCTTCACAGCATGCAAGGGGCATTCCTGTACCACCTTTTAATGCAACTGCATCTTTTCCCAGAACCACAGAGCTGCCCTCTGCAGCATGATAAAGACACAACTGGTTTAAGGAGTTTCCAGCTGAAGCATGTTTTCCCTAATGAATTGTAAGCGCTGCACAGCCCTGATATTATCTTGGCAAGCATTCAATATCAAATATGTAAGTTTACATGTCAGATTGCAGTCAGATATCAGCCAAGCAAGACTTGATGGCTTTGCTCATTTGCAAGACTCAACAAGCTGGAGAGAAGCCAATTTCAAACCAAATCCAGTTAGCATTATGTGGCAAAGCAGCCTCGGTCATATAACCAAAAGGAGAGAAAACGAAAAGATTAAAGCCTCCCTAATCCCACCATGGTGCAACCTGAAATGGATTTGCTTCATCTGTAATTTATTTTGAAAAAGCAATTTACACAATTAGTGATTATATAAACATCTTAAAATAGTATGGCCCAGAATTCTGCAACAATTCAGTAGAAATGTAACTCAACTATGTGTAGCTCTCTTCCCAAGTACTCCTTCACAATTAAGCATATTGTAACTTACAAGAGAATTGCTGAGATTTTTCATTCTCTCCACAACACTTTTCATGGTCTTCAGCACAGGTAGATAAATACTGACCTAGAAAACCAGATCGGTAGCACTCTAGTTTAGATGACCTAGGAATACCTTAGTGATAACACACTTTCCAATATGATAAATTACCCCATGGAGAATTAAACTAATTTAGAACCAAGTGACATTCTATGGCTTAGTACAATGACTGAATTATATATGGTTTGTGTGAACTCACCCAAATGTAGCTTAATCAAAAAAACTATGGTTAAGCTATGGCCAAGCATGATGTGTGAATGAGGCCATACTATCAAATATATCTCCTTTCCTTCCTGCATCATTCTTCAAATGTGAATTCTAGATGTAGGGAAGGACAGACCAGCAAAGTTGAAAATCTTCCTCTCCTGTGACCTTAAAGAAAAGTGTCCTGTTTAATTCACATTTGGCTTTATGAAACAGAAATGTTGGATCAAGTTGCTTTGGGTCAAAGTAAGTATTTCTGTTGTACCATGGCGTCATTTCAGGCCAACTCCTTAGAGAAGGATTCTCCTCAGCTACCTGCACTAATTGAGCTGATTCTGGCTCAGGACTTGAGCCAGAATCCAGACTTGACTCAATACTCTGAGCAACCACCTAGATCATGTGAACAACACACTCAGGCACCTTGGCAATAAAGTCTACACAAAAGTGTTCCAGTTCTGGCTTAACAAGTACTAACTAACTGTATTAAGACTAGTAACTCAGTGAAAAGGCTTAAAGAAAGCCAACTGAGTAATGCAAGGGTCTCGATGCCCCCTGTCTGAGATACTAACTAACTGTATTAAGACTAGTAACTCAGTGAAAAGGCTTAAAGAAAGCCAACTGAGTAATGCAAGGGTCTCGATGCCCCCTGTCTGAGAATTAGCTTGTTGTTGGGAATTTTGAACATGAGAAGTGTAGTTTCTCCACTGAGATTCTTCTGTTTTTTCCTTTTGACATAATTGTGACTATGATTAGTTTGGCTTTTGATTTCAAGCTACTCTTCAGTGCCATGGGTAATGTTTTGGGAGATCAGACCTTGGATTGTATATACAGTTTTCCATTTGGAAGGACCTCTATAGTCTGATGCATAGGAGTGAATGCAGAAATGACATAAAATATTGGAAAGAGCCCAGATGAAAATTGTCACTGGTATCAAATCAAAAAACATAAATGCTAAGAACAAAAAGGGATGTTTATTTTAATAGCTATGTCAGAAAAATAAGGAAGAAATTTGCTGCACTAAGATCTGAAGCATATGCAACTTTTTAAAAATTTAAATAACCTCAATTTGTTTTAAATTGAATTTTATAAATTTAAATAACCTCAGTATGATTAACCATATGGACTTCTAAATTAAAGAAAAAAAATTAAGAATACAATTGAAAAGAAACTAAATAAAACTGTTTTTAAAGTCTAATTTCAATGCTGTGAAAATTAAAAGTTACTTACATCAAAGTCGGGCACCCTGGGTTCTCTGAAGTCATTCCACAGCTTTCTTGGAATAACCCCTACAGGAATGTCATGGGTCACAATGCGACTACTGCCTGACAAGGAAGGCTAGAAGAAAGAAAACACCTCAAATGACCAAAAGGGTAATATTTGGCTGCTATTTAAAGGATGACTGCATTTCACTGTATCATCCATCCATACCTAATTTATATCAGTAAGTAACTCCTTCATAAACTGTAAGGAACATCATATTTTCAAGCCAGTGAATAACTGGCACCATAAAGTTATCTCCCCTCTTCAATCATATATGGATAGTTATAATGAAACATGGCCATCATTCATTCATTTTCTTCTGAAAGTTTTTCTGGGCCAGAGGTCTAGACAAATCTCTACAGCCAATTTACCTGGAAATTAACTTTCAAAGTCGTAGAAATTAAATTTTGAAAGTTTGCTACCTGGAAACTCAGAGGACAATTTGGTTACACTACAAGACACTCAAATATGCTTTGAACCCACTATTCATTTCTTCATAGCCACCATCTCCACATGCAGATTTCTGTTCTTTAAGAAGTTAAATTATGCAGAAAGACATAGCAGATTTCCCTTGAGTCTATATTGTCATTTCTTTATACATGCTTTCTGTAAATTGTAAATGGCCTAAGATAATCCTCATGTGGAGGTAACAAAGCATCAGTACCCCAATTTAGCTGAAACTGAAAAGCTATTATTTTCCCTTCACCTTGGTGCCATGTAGTGAACCTGGGGACTTCAAATAGCTAATATGCCACAATAACAGTGGCAAATATAACAAAGTTCAACAATACGAAGACACCTGCATGAAAGTTATGCAGGAAAGAAGCTACTGTGTCATGAACATTTATACATGAGTGTCCATTTTACTATTGGCCAAACACTTGAATATACGGCAGTTCTCCTTTGATAGGAAGACTGACACTAGACTTAGGATACTTCTCTACTCACCAGTTCCACAGCTACTGTAAGGCAAGGGCAATGCTTATTCGTTAATTTGATTTTCACTGCCTTGGCATTCTGAGCAGTTTTAAAGGCTCTGGAGAAGTTTTCCGATGCCAGCTCTAAATAAATTTCATTATTTTCTGCAGAAACACCTTCCATCTGGAATTCATCAAAGAAGTTCCCCTAGAATAACAATATTAGAAAATAGAGATGCTGATAACACTGAATGCTATTAATATTGGGTTTCATTTAAAAGTTATTTTGTATGGTTTAGCTTTTGCTCTGATAGGGGAACTGTACCAGTAAGGTAGCTGCCATGTTCATGAATGTAATCCTGTGATTTTACTTTGTATGAACTATCAAACAAAGTTCAGTATGGTCAAAGGCATTACTTTACACACACCTACAGGCAGACCAGATAATAATAAGAACCCACAGCATGTTATAACTTTTTAACGCACTTTCTAACACACTTAGAATTGTATGGGTTGCAACTGAGAGATTTCACTAACAATATTTTTTGCAAAATAATCATTAAAGCTTTCATTTGTTGAAAACTTGCCAACTCACAATCAAGCCTCAGAACCAGGTATAATATATTCGGACTGTAATCCTTTCTATAGTTTAATAGAATATATTTTTCCCAAATAAAGATTTCCAGTCTGAATAAAAAGGATCTCTCATCTAAATATTTTATTCAATCCTGAATTAAATTACTCTGCTGGCAGATACACAGACTAAGTACATTTCTAGATCAGGGATGTACATAACCTGCAAGCCACTGACCATCAGTTCCTCTCTGAATTTTCTGCAAATGTGCTGCCAATCTGCAGTGACAAGAAATAAGTGTTTGGAGAGGTAATTGAGAATGGGAGACGAAAGCTGCTTCAAGCTCACCCTCCATTATGTTATTGTCAACTTGGTACCGTTGGTTGCAATCATGGCTGTGCAGAAAGATTGTTACCATCACATAGCAGTTGCTCTGTTTCTCCAAATCTTTTTTGATTCCCAGGTTTTTTAGGATTCTAGATTGTTTTCAGTGGTTTCTCCCTACTGGCACCTGTATTACTTTTGTGGTAGTTTTTCAGCAATTCGTTTTGATTGTTGAGGCCAGGATTCCAGCAATCTCCCCCTCTGTGCCTCGGGTACACTCATAGTGAGAAGTTTTTGACCTGTGGATTTTCTTTGGATTTTCACCACTTTCTGCTCGGTTCACAACATCATTATCAAGTTATTTGGATAACTTATTTGGATGATACTATCTAAAACTATTCTTCTTGTAACCTTTTAATTATTATAACCTTCCAGCATTTCTTGGACATCATCCAGACCTTCTGGATCATTAGTTTGTTAATTAGCCCAAATTCAACTTACATCTTTGCTTGTCTTCTGTCTTCCTGTTCATTTATTTCTATCTCTATTTTTGATATTTTGTAACAACATAGTCTACATTGTAGGAGAAGCAAATTAGCATTTTTTTCAGCAGCTTTCCTATATTTATTCTCTTAAAATACATGACAATATAGAGAAAGTACCTCAGGATTCATTGAACTCAGTTGCTGCTTACTATTATGTATGATTCTGCTGCCTTTTACCAGACACAATTCTTTGTCAGGAACGTATATTCAGAATGAAAGAAGAAATATACATCTTTGCTTGATACCAAGTTCTAACTTAGATCAAATGGATTTCATAGGTTGCTATCTTTAATGTAATTTTTTTCCTCGCATTCTTACCTGGTTAAGCTCACACCACATGCTAACACCTCCATTTGCTACTTTGTCACTGAGGGTGAAGTAAAGCTTATCCAAAGTAAGCCGTAGGGTACAGGTTTTAGCTAACTTGGCAATTGTGTTTATCACACCTGGAAAGACAGTACAGTTTACAACATATCCTCCTAAAATCTATCCATATATAATATAGAGATCTTGATTCTATCCATATCTCATACAGAGTCTTGATTCAAACAAGAACAGGAGGTGAAACTCTATTACCAAAACAGGCACATCTAGGGTTAGCTTGGAAGTGGCATTAAAAACTTACTGGACTCCAGTAATGTCCCATCACTAAAACATTAACATTACACTTCTGTAAGATTAACAAAGAAGCTTTGGGGTCAAATTTCTAATCATTGTATTGTTTTTCAGCTGTTTGCTTACCAATGCGTAATTGTGAATTTTGTTACTGATTTTATTGATATAATTATCAAGCAATTCTCCTTTCTTACTGAATTTAGAGCAGATGCCTTATCTCTCACTCACTGTTTGCAAACCATGGAGGAAAAAAGAAGACAGGCTTTGAAGTAACACAGTATTAATAGATTCATTACAGATAGATAGGCTGCAACTGGTCAAGTGTCCCAGAAAAAACAAACCCCTTTCTCGTGTGTATTTTTTCCTCTCCCAGAGCAGAATGAAAACACAAGATTCTTCCTGCACTACACATACTGCCTGAGTATCCATACGGCTTGTTCGATTTCAGCTCAGCAAGCTCTGGGAAGCAAAACACTGGAAGGAATGTGTATCTGCTTGAAGTTAATCCATTTCATCTGGCAGCTCTGAATCTCTCATCCCATTTAGCCTCCTCTATAGTGTGGAACAGACTGAGTACCAAACAATAATAAAAGGGTGCCATTCATAAACCTTCTTTGAAACACTTTATTTCAAAAACTGAGCAGCCACGTTTCTGTTTCCCTTCCCAGCAGAAGGCCTTTTATCTCCCGTGAAGGCCCCACTACCCTCAGAGGAAGCATATTCTTCTGACGGAAAAGAAACGCCACTCTTTAAAGACTTGCAAAATCAGGTGGGCAGCCGTTAAAAGAAACGGGGGAGGGGAGGGGAGGGGAGGGGAAGCTGAGAATTCTCTTTCCAACGCTTTTCTTTCCAGCTGAGCTGAAGGCTTTTTCACATACTCTACTCACGACTGAAATGATTGAGACATCCAACGTCTATAATCTTAGCACGAAACCGCATGACAGAAGCAGTTCCAGCGCCAAAGCACCCCCCTCGCCGGCGTAGTCTTCCTCCAGCCCGTCAACCATAGAGAAAGAGGGAGAAAAAGCGCTTCCGGTTCCCGTTTGAGCGCCTCAATGGCAGGTGGTGCGGAGTTTACGCAAAGGCGCCGCAGAGATCCGTGTCTCACCGTGGCTTCTTTTTTCCATTTGCGTCGGTGGAGTCGGTTTTATAAGTCCCTTCTCTGCCAGCAGATTTCGGTGGGGGGTCGGAAGGGTTGCAGATCCCTGAACAGTCAAACTCTGATCTTGAAAAGACTACCATTTCTTAGATCTACGATGAAAACCGGAATCCGGACTGAGGCGTCGCTGGTGCCCATTTTTGTTTCTGGTTTCATTTTCCTTTTTTTGATTTGTTGGCGGTCTGGAAAGGTTGCGCTCTAAAAGAATGAGTACAGACTCCAGGTTTATCCCCGCAAATCAGGTAAGTTTTCGCAGACCCGACCGGCGGACAGCAGCAGCGCCATCACCAGTGGGCTCGCAGAAGGCGTAACCTAAGCTTTCAGATCTTACTACAGTATGTCTACCACGTCTGGAGTGGAAAACGCCATACAAACACTGGATGACGGCAAATAATTAAAGTTGATTATGCCTCTTTGTTTTTACAGTCCAGATATGGTAGCCGCAGTTAACAAATACACAGTATTAAAACATTAAATATTCCTATTTACCTTCAATACTTTCCATTCAATAAGACATAATTTTTATTTTAAAAATTCCTGTTCTGGCCTGTTTTGCTCCATCTTTTATTATGGCCCCATTTTTAAGTGTCCAAAGTACTTAATATTGTTTCACCCTTTCCTTTCAGAACTCAAGAAGGGGTAGGTTGATCTGCAAAAACAAGATAATGCTCACACCTGTACACCAGTGAGCAGGAAATGAACACTTACATTCACCTGCCTTTCAGTAACTCCAGGATAGAATACATTTTAAGAGCTAACCCTTAGCACAACTGACAGACAACAGGCTCAAAGGGCTCATCTTTGTACCCCTTTAAATTGCACCACAAAGATGCCCTCATTTGTAAGGAATCCACTGCAGAGGCAGCTCAAAATTGTATTTAGCTGCTCCAGTTTTAAAGTGGTACTATCCCTCTTCTGACACAATTTTGTCTACGGACACAGTCATGTGCCCACTGATGTAATCAACGGTTGGGATCTGCCCAACTCCTGCATCTGTTGGTCACTTAAGGCCCTTTGACCATGCTTTGTCCCATCCAGGTGCTGGGGACTGCCTTCCATAGCCATATTGGCTTAGGCTACAGGAAAGACATCTGCCTGTTTAATATTTGACCAGCACTTTGGAAAAGGCCAGTTAAGCAGTACACATGCTCTAGAAATATTGGTTTACTTCCAATGAACTAGTTCCATGCTGCACAGCAGCCCCAGTAAAGACTCACTAGGAAAGTTTGATGGTGGTGGTTGGTTCCACAGCAATTTCACCACCACCTGGGCAAAACGTGATGTTTCACTTCCCTGTTCCCATCTTTCCATGGCTCTTGGGAAGCATCACTGTAATTTTTTTTCCTCCTGTGTGTGTGTGTCTGTCAGGAGAGAGAAAGCTTCTTGCATCAACCAGCTGCATTTCAGTATGCCAGGTAGGGGAAAATAAAGGCCACATTATATAGCTCAGTTGGAGCGGGAAGTGGCCAACATTTTAATTCACAACAGGCATCTGCCTGTATTTAATCAAATGATGCGCTTCCTCTAAGGAAACACTTGGTACCTCTTTTTTCCATACCAACCTCTGCCCCATGGCCTGCTGCTCCCCCCATCACTCAGCAATAAGGAGAGAGCTGGCAAACTGTAGCTGCAAGGAAGCTGGCAGTGGTGTACAGTACTGATTCAGCATGCAGGAAGGGCAATAGGAGGGACTGCCTTGCAGTATGTGAAGAGAGCATTTCCTGCTGCTGTGGCATTCACCAGGGAAGGCTGTGGATCATGCCATGAGGGCTGGCCAGTAAAGCAGAATCAGCTCTCTGCTTCATTGAGCAGCACCTACCCACCCCACCCCCAGCAATTCACAAGATGAAGTCTCTCTCACTCATTCATATATACGCAGAATAAGAGAGCCAGAGAGATGATCAGATATCTTGGTTTTGAGAGATGGCTAAAATCTGGTTTGTTCCCCAGCTCCGCCCCACTTTAGGAAGTTTAATTAGTAGACTTTTTTCCCCACTGATAGGTGTCCCTTGGTGGGAGGAAATGAAGCCAACTGAATCCACCAATTGTTTTTCTAAGATTGCCCCACATAAATCTATAAGAACAGTACCAGGGGCTAGTCATATCACTGAGGAAGAATAAGGTTTGGAATTTATGCTGGCATATTTTTCTGCCAGCCCATTGGAAAAACAGATGTTAATGTAGCCTTGAAAAAGAGGCCCAAGTGTTTTCATACCAGATAGTTCATGATGATAATCAAATGTATGGCCTGAGATATGTTAATATGAGATACAATTATAAATCATGGAGCTCTGCCCTGCTATTTTAATGCAGATCTTACTGAAATGCCTTGAAATGTAGCAGTAATAACTGGGAGAAGATTGTATTGCACGACTTTTTAGCATTGGATTGCTGTTCATGTTACCCCGATGTTCAAAAACCTTAAGTGCTTTCAGACTTCTTATAACCAAATTGCAAGAAACATGCCTCGTGTAGAAAAAAGTGGTTAGTTATTTGCCAGATTTTAAAAATATTATTGAGAGATTTTAATGTGTAGTTATATTTGTTGTTACCAACAAAAGTGATAGAATCACTGAAGTACTACCAATATAGTCCTCTACATAGCTACCCAGAAGTTACCCTGAGCTTCTTGGACCTTAATAACATGTATGGAGAGCCAGTTTGGTGTAGTGGTTAAGGCATCAGGCTAGAAACCGCGAAACCATGAGTTCTAGTCCCGCCTAGGCACAAAGCCAGCTGGGTGATCCTGGGCCAGTAACTTTCTCTCAGCCATAAGAAAAGGGCAATGGCAAATCACTTCTGAAAAACCTTCCCAAGAAAACCTCAGGCACTTGTCCAGGCAGTCTCTGACAATTGGACATGATTAAAAAAAAGGATTAAAAAAAATAGTAACATGTATATCTGTGCATGATTGGAGGATTAAGCAGCAAGTTCCCTCCACAAATTTGAAGTAATATATGAGCAATCTCCATAGCACATATAGTCCTTGGATCCTTCAGTATTGGCAAAGCCATGCTTGTATTTTATAGAATACTTCCTACAGCTGCCAAATAGCTGCAGTATAGGCTAAAATAAATTTAGTTTCCTTGAAGAGGAGGCAGACTGATCCCTGCTTAGAGTCTCCCTTCATTCTTATGCCACTAATAGTTCTGAATGGCATTCAGTTATGCCCTTCTCTGTGCACCACCACCTCCATTTGCAGTCGTGCTTCGCATACACACACCCCCCCCGGCATCCCAAATCTCTGACAGGCCAGGGTGGCACAGTTTACTTGAGAAAGATGGCATGCAGCAAGAGTTAATTCTTGCTCTTTACACAACTTCCTTCCTATAAACGTGTATGAGCTGTGAATGTGTACAGTTGCATGGGAAGTAACAGAGACGCCAATCCTGGTTCTTGTCCACTAATGCCATGCCCACTGCCAACTCTGTTGCTTTTCTCAGGAATAAAATGAATGTCTGTGACCATAGAGAAATATAATTTATAGTCT